AAAGAAAAATCCGGCTGAACGTGAATCTTTTTTTTTTTTTTTTAAACAACAAATCTCACTTGAAGATACTGGCATGTTATTATCTGGTTTCTTCAACATGAATCTCAGAGAAGGATTTTAAATCCAACTTGCTAGTGTAATTTTCTGTTCAATTTATCTAACTTCTCTTGGAAAAAACAAACCAAAGTTGGGAAAGCATCAAAAGAAAATTAATACACGACTAAGTCCTAAACTGAAATCTCCTCTTCTCATCTCAAATATCTAGAAATGATATACAATATTTTTCTTAAAATCCAGAACCGTGTTGGAAAACGAGAAAGCATATCGCTGATAGACAAGAAACTATGAGGAATCCCTGAATGAGAGAAAGCAGAAGAATGGATTAAAGAAAAGCAGCACAGCCCAAAATGGACACATAAGTGTACTGCCCAAAACAAGGAGGCTCTAGGTGGATCCAAAACTAGAAGAGAGTACTTCAAGACACAGGGGCCCCAGCTATGTCAAGACACAGGTGATGAGGTAAGAAAAAGAGGAGCAAAAGCCAGAACAATCAGCTTTCCATGCAACAACAGCTATAGCTACCTCCAAGTAAAAGCAATGAGTGTAAAAACTTTCCAGAAGAAAAGCAGTTATGGTAGGTGCTGCTGACACCCTGAAGACGTGGTGAGCTCCAACATAGAAGAGGGTATTTCAGTCACAATAAAAAATGAATTACTCGGGATTGTGGAAATTAAAAATAATTGGTAGAGAGGAAAAAGTTGACAGCTAAAGAAATAGCTGAAGAGCAAAGCAGCGAGTAAACCAATTCTCCCATAATGCAGCACAAAAGGACACACAAAATGGAAGGTCCTAAAGGAAGTCGAGAGGTATGGAGGATAGAGCCAACAGGGTAAATATCCATCCAGTGACAATTCCTGAATAAAGAGTAAATGGAAAGAATATCCAGAGCATATCAACAAGAAAAATTTTTCTAGAACTGAAGATATGAGTGCTCATATGGAAAGGGCATCCCTCACACCATGAAAAGAAAAAAAAACTTTCTTTTAAATCCCGCATCTAGTTATATTGTGGTGAAACTTTAAAATAACATGAGTAAAGAGTACATCCTCAAAGCTTCTAGAGAAAAAAAAAAGTAGAGGTTACTTAGTAAGAAACAAACATCAGACCTCAGACTTCTCGTCAGCAACACGGAATATGAATAATGTAGCACCATAGAATAGCACAAAAGAACGTGGCACAATATCTGCAAAGTTTTAAAAGTTTTGAGCCTAGAAATTTCCACTCAGCCAATTCCATCGAGAAGGAAAAGTACAGACCAATTTTCCACCAGGCAAGAAGTTAGAGATTTTGCTTTTTAAATTTATCTGCAAGAAATATTAGAAGGTATACTCCAGTAAAAAGAAAAACCACTCTAAGAGGATGTAATAAGACACAAAAGTCAAGGGTACATAAAGAAATAAGCAATCTTCAAAAAAGCCGGGGAGAGCCGGGCTCGGTGGCTCAGCCTATAATCCCGCGCCTTTGGGAGGCTGAGGTGAGTGGATTGCCTGAGCCTGCAGGTTCGAGACCCGCCTGGGCAGGCGAGACCTCACCTCGACAATAAATCAAAAAATCAGCCGGGCATGGTAGCGCGCACCTGTAGTTCCGGCTATTTGGAAGGCTGAGGCAGAAGGATTGCCGGAGCCCAGCAGGTGGAGGCTGCGGTGGCCGGGAGCGGCCGCTACACTCCAGTCTGGGCGACAGAGTGAGACTCCAACTCACAAAAAAAAAAAAAAAAAAAAAGCCGGGGAAGAACCTAAAAATAAAATCCCAAATGATAACAATCTATAGTCAAGGAGGAGGAAGTAAAGGGAAAGGAGGGGCTTATCTCTTAACATATGTAGAAAATATATGTTTAAATATGTGCAGAAAGTACTTTGGCTTTATATGTTTTTTTAAAAAACAGAAATATAATTTATAATTTTAAAACAAAGAGTAATGAAAGCAAAGAACAGAAAAATAGACAAAGGAAATAAATAGGCAATTTACTGAAGCATGAACACAATCCAAGAAACAGATCAGATACTCAGTAATAATCAGGAAAATGTAAACTCAAAAGCAATAACATAGCAATTTTTAGAAAGCAAAAAACGGTGAAGTTTGCTAATATTAAGGGATATCTTGTTGGGGTGGCTCTAAATGGCTATAGTTTTTTGTTGTTGTTGTTATTGTTTTAAAATTTGAGTCAGAGTCTCACTCCGCTGCCCAGGCTGAAGTGCAGCGGCGTAATCATGGCTCACCACAGCCTTGACCTCCTGAACTCAGGCAATCTTTCCACCTCAGCCTTTCGAGTAGCTGGGACTACAGGTGCATGCTATCACACTCGGCTAAATTGTTTTTATTTTTATTTTTTAAGACAAGGGCTCTCTATATTTCCCAGGCTGGTCTTGAACTTCGGGCTCCAGCAATCTACCCACTTCAGTTTTCCAGTGTACTAAGATTACAGGCGTGAGCCACCACACCTGGTCGATACAGCATTTTTTGATGTACAACTATATGAAACACATTTCTGACTCCTATCCTGTATTCTATAAAAACCTTTGCACTTGTACATATGTACAAACAGCATAAATAATTCTTACTGAAACATTTTTATGGTAAGAAAAATGAGAAATAAGCTACACACCTTCAATATGGAGCATTTAATGTAATTAAGACATATTCTACCATGAATCCCAGGCAATGGTTAAAAGAATATGATAAATCTATGATTTCTGACTTGAAATGCTCATAAATAAGAAAAAAAAACAAGTTTTTTATGTGTAGCATAGAAAATTATTTTTGGAACAAAATATATTATTTGTGCAATCATCAATAAGTAAGAACACTGTTAAAGAAAATAAAAATTAACAGGGAAAGAAAGAACAAAACAGTTAAGGACAAAAAAAATTGATAGAAAAATAAGTTGATCAAGTCACCTGCCACATTCTTCTGTAAAGTTACTTTTTAAAAAGCATCACTAGCCGGACTCGGTGGCTTAGCCTGTAATCCCGCGCCTTTGGGAGGCTGAGGTGAGTGGAT